TCAAATTGTTATATATTTCGAAAAATTATACTGAAACGAACCAAAATATATTTTTAAGATAAAAGTTGATACTTTCGGAGAACATTAATAACATTTAAAAAAAAATTTGCTGTCGATATTATGTCACGGAAATCCTTAAAATCATTTTTGGCGTTATTTTCTTCAAAATTCTGTCTTAATAACCAAATTTAGACGTATCGTATTCAGCAAGCAAAAATATATTGAAAATACTTGTTGACACTCGAGAAAAAAAGATCAAATTTTCGTGAACAATAATTAAACTTCCTTCTTAATTTAATAGTACTAAATCCTGCCTCTTTCCCTCTGAATTGTAATTGGAAGAATAAACTCTTTTTGTTTTTGAACAAAAAAAACGATTTTATCATTTTCGAGAAAATTAAGTTAAAAAATGGTTGTGCAACACAAATCCAAAAGTCTAAATTAGATCTAAATATGCATATATATAAATTGTAAAAGTTATGTTTGATAAAATACAAATTTGGGCATTTCGCATATACTTATATGATTTATTTTATCTTTTAATATTTTAATAAATGATTATCAATTATGATAATTAAAACTTTTTAAATATTATTTTTAAATATTATTTAACCCTGATCCTGATTTTAACAGTATTTCTTAAAATCAAAATCATTGACAACATATCCTCTTTTATAAATAATTAAATAAGATTTTTGTTTTTGTAGAAAATAATTTCAAGATTTTAAAATTAGCTCTCTAACATATGAATTTAGTTTTCTAACATATGAATTTAGTTTTACGGAAAGAACATATTTATAATCAACAAGAAACCAAGTATGTATCGTAATTTACATGTGATAGCATATAATCTAAAATGATAAAGACATCATATTTTTGTCCATAAATGTGTGAACTTTTGCAGATAAGATTCATACAGTTCTAGACATTCTAGACATCAGTGAAGTTGTAAAGCATCATACATGTCATATGAGTTATAATGAATGCAAAGATAAAACAGGTAAGCTGAAAAATTTGAATCAATCACGATAATCCATTAATATTATAAATTCTATATGATTATATTTATTCATATGTATTGGTATGTAAACAGATGATAATTGTTGTAATTTTTCTTGAATGTCTTAAAACTTCTTTCATGTCTTTGTACTAATGCGGGGAGATCTTGTTTATCTACAAAACGTTTGCTAACGTAGCATTTGCCTACAATACATATATACACATTACATGCATACAATCTATAATTCTATATAAAATAATTTGCAACAAGTATTGCGCGCGCATTATTATTGTACATATAAGCACATTTTGTATGTGATCATATTGTACACATACGCATTCTATATATTGACACCATATTGCACACTGACATCGCATATACGGCTATATATTGCATAAATAAAATAAGAAATACAATGTATATATCATCCGATGCTTTTTCAAAAGTGAGGTCTATAATTGTATCTTTCGGTGCTTTCAGTGCAAAACCCGAGGTTTATATACATTGGATCCAAACCTTCTATATGTAAATAAAAATTTATTCCCCATCCAGTCACAAATTCTAATACTTTTTTTATTTCAATTTTATGTACGGTTTTCTTATTTTATATGTATAATTTGGTCATATCTGTAATTGTGTTTGACATGATGTGTATCAATATGTTTGTATATACATAATAGGATCATGTATGCAATATGTGTATACATATATGGTCATATATACAATGTGTATATATATATACAGGAAAGTATGCAAAATTTATGTTTTAATTGCAAGTGTGCAAAATGACAAATGTGTACAATGATATTTGTAGACAATCGCTTGTATCTAATTAAAATTGTGCTCGTATGTAATTAAAATTGTGTGCAACTAAAAAGTAAGAAGAGTAGAAAACTATAATGCTTTTTGGCATTACACTAAGAAATTAAACTGTGTTCCAATAACATGACAAATATTTATAATATAATGTAACACAGCTTGCTTTTCTGCTGCGTTTCTGCCGACATTCAATTTTTACTTCAAAAAAATTTTAACTCGAAAAACAAAAATCGCATGTTGATAAACGCCACGATAACTTCTTTTTCTCCACGAAAACCACTAAAAAATATTGACATCGAAAAATTTGATGAACTTCTGAGGTTCTTGTAAGACACGTTCGTTACAAGAATACACCACGTATACGAACAACACACGAAACTTACATTTATATGTATATACACTGTAAAACGTCATAGTTTCTAAAATTAAGTAAAATTAAATTTAAAAAATCAAGTTATTTTAAATAATAAAACAATTACAAAATAAGATAAAAACAGAAATAATAAATTTTAACTCAGAATTTAAACTCAGAAATATTAAAAATTAAAATGAATACATTTTAATAAATAAGTTATAATTAAAAAATAACTTATTTCAAATTAAATTAAATTATTAGCTTCAACTTATAACTAATTAGATAGTTACTATCCCAGTTTAAAAGAACTTTCTGTCTGTAAGAACTTGTGTCTTGTGTCTGGTATTTTTGCTATCATATATACTGTTTATATAAAATATATTCTACAATATATTTTTTATATCCACCCATATTATGTTACACTTATATTATCAAAATATGTAACATAGCGATTAGTCTTTCGAATGTGATATTGCGATATTACATTTTTTCCCATTTTAAACTTAATTCTTTACACATTTCCATCACATAATTTTGACTAGCGCTCGGATTGCTCGACTTCAAAATTATAGGAAATGATGACTTCCTACTTTTCATGAACAAAACAAACTTTTTTGCGTATAACATCTTTCTCTATTCTGAGATATTTATTTATTTTATTTCACGTATTGCATTATTAAAATCATTACGTTAACTGAAAAAAACAGAGTGTAATTTTAATTTCTTTTTTCATATGATGATACAAAGACATGCCAGAAACTATGGGGAGGTCGATTTGATGAAGATGTTGACTCTGATTTTCATAATTTAAATTTATCGATCAACATTGACAAGCGAATGTATGCTGAAGATATACAGGTAATTTAATAATTAATATCTTGATTATTATTGCAAATATATGGGACTTTTATGTTTATCTCGGTCCCATCTATTTTTTTGCCACAAACAGTGGCAAAAGTCTCGCGGAATACCTTGTGTATA